GATTAACGTCGTGTTTTGTTTTCTTTTTACGTAAATTAACTGTCGAAAAAAACGTTTGCTTATTTAATTGGCCAAATTGACAGATAAACACATAAACATTCGCGATGATATTCATTTGCATAGTAAACAAAGTGGGTACCAAACAGTTGGAAAAAAATTGTGACTGTAGTCTTCCAAACATCATGAATTTGCAGTTTAGTAAGTTTAGTGCATACAACTGTCAGTTTACTTACCGCCACAAACCACAAAATTGCAGTGGCTCATATTTACAAAGTGATACTTTGTAAAACTGGCAAAATGCGAATAATTCTTTACTATAGAGGGTTCCATTCATTTTCAACTTAGGATTCTAGTTAAATAAATAATTAAGTTTAAATTATTTATTCGTAATTACCTAAAAATTTTAGGGGGTGTCCTGAAAGGGCTTTTAAACTTTGCTTAATATCCAACCACCGCCGTTCAATGAAGGGCCTGATACATGCTTCAGTTTGTACTACTTTGGAAGCCTTATTGTCTCTAAAGAAAGTAACATTAAACGTGTCTCTATGATGAATCCAAATCTATATCAAATTCTACAGTCTCTAGAGCTTAGGTCACCAAGTTGACCACTGATGTGGTCTACCATTGATAGAGTCGTTTAATAAATAAATAAACAAATAAATAAATAATTGTCTATATTGCAAGGAAAAATTGTTACAATTTTGAGTGAATTTTCTGTCTTCCAAAATAGGCATTTGCCTATAGTATGGACGACAGTGTCCTCCCCATTAGGTACAAACCATTAGGTTAATATTTCGTTACTACGATAAATCATTTATCTCAGATGCTAAAAGAAGCATGTCGGCCGTGGCCGAAGTCGTTAAACACCTAAGTAGTGCTTTTGTCGCCAAACTGAAGGTCGCGCTTGGCGTCCGAACTTTGTTCCTAGATAAACAAAACATGAAAAGGTAAACAATTTTTGTTTACTATCGCAAAGGTGTTTTTCTGAGATTCTGGAACAACACGTTATTAGTTAGTGCCTATTAGTAATTTACCAAGGTTTCGAAAATACCCATAACAAGTGGAAAACAGTTCAAAACAATTCTAACGTCAATTAGGTAACCCATAATATTAAAATTAAAGTTCCTAGGTTGTCTGGAAAATATTATATCTTTATAGCGATGAGACCGCCTAAATTTTACTGTCTATTTTGTGCATTTCTTTGTTGTTTTGTACAACATGAAGTATTTTTATTATTGTTTAATTACATAGTACAAGCTTTGCTTAATTTAAGACTAGAGGCACAGTGTAAAATGTCCAAGGATATTTTAAAAAAATATTTAATTTTCAATTGGCACTTTATTTAACGGGTATATAAAATGATTGATTCGATAGAAAAAACATTTTAAAATGCATAAAAAGATCTTTTGATAAAATTTCAATCGGACCTGAATAAAAAGCGATTAGCTAACGGTGTGTTATACTTTCTATCATCTGTTAATTTTATGACCTTTCCTTATTTCCTTTAAATTTTCCTATGACACATTTTCCAAAGTCCAACGGAATAATTCAAATTGACAGACGGCTGGTAAACATAATACTTGAACTTGCGTATTANATCCGCTTTACGGTCCTTCTCCAGTTTATCAAATTTTGTCTTCATTTCCTCATATTGTTTCGAAATAAAGTCCACTGATTTGATTAGTTCACTGTTTTGTAACAGAATGTCGTTTACAGTACTCTGCATTTTGTCCTGCTGTTTTTTGAAGGATTCCAAACTCTGCTTGATTTCCGACATAAACACAGTCATCTCATCGCCGTGTTGGCGCTTGCGCACCCTGGGCCTATTGGTTATGTTGCTCGAACTCTCATTTTCAGTATCTGTCATAGGGGCGGAACTAGTTTTGGGGTCCGATTCAGCAATCTGTTGCGAAGCGGGGGGAGGTGTCCTTTTGAGAGGCATGTCTGTGATAATTTTGTACGCACGCAAATACAAAAGAAGATAATATCGCTGAGTCTCACCGTAGTCGGCACACTTATAAGCGTTTCGTAGCAGTCAAGTTATGTAGCTCCTTGGCAAGCCGTCGTAGTCAGTCGTAGCACATAAGCAAATTCGTAGCACTACGTCAGATTAGATCACTAATTTCACCGTGCGGAACTACTGTTTCGATAGCCGATTTGGGCCGAGACGTGATCCACTCACTCAGTGTCGCGGGTTCGAGTCCCACCGCGCACGACACTTTTTCGCGCACAAAATGTAATTTATTATTTAATTTGAAATATGTGGACCACACGAGCACACGTCCGCTCTCAATCACGTCCGCGGGGGAAGGGGAATTATTTTATGAATATTAACTTATGATTCCTTTGACAGGTAGTAAAGGACCATGTAATGTCTATTTAAAGAATTAAACAAGTATTTTTTACTGTCATTGGCTGTAAGTTTTCCTAAGAATTCGAATAAAATCCAGTATATTCGCCATTAAGTCTGAACCACACATTTGGAGGCCACCCCAAAATGCCATTTACATCTAAAAGTCAACTGCGAGCCTTAAAGGCCTACCGAGGCCTATTCCCAGAAAGGCCTAATACACTTAATAGAATGGCCCTACAGCCAGAATAAACAGGCAGTTATACACTGTGATGCAGTGAGGGACATAAAAAGTGCACACAAAAGTATGTACAGTGTGGTTTGATGCTTCAGTGGCGATGAGTTAGAAGATCATTAACCCGGCGTCAATGACGCTGGGTCATATTGACCCGAGGCATTTTCAAACGTTCATAATTTTTTTTTGCGTCCATTTTGTGGTTCGAGCGTTCGTATAGCTGGAGATAAAACCTCCCTAAATCCATTCCGTTAGTTAACGTATTGTGACTCCGCTTGCGTAGCGAGATACACAGGCTTCAAATTAAAACGGGTCATTATGACCCGGCGTCATCGGCGGCGCGGTGATTTTGTGACTTACTTTTATTCGCTTATTTTGTGTTTAGTGCTAGCTTATGTTGTTCTTTTTTAAGTTTTAGCCAAAATGTCTTTGTTAAATGACCCAGCAAGAATGTAGTGTTGCTAGAAGAGTCGGATTCCGAGATTGAAGAATTTCAGGCTGTAATAGCCAGAACTTAAAAATGGCAACGAATGTGAAAAAAACACAAGTAATGGGGACTCAGTCTTTGGATAATCTCGAACTTGCATTAGTACGACGCCGGCAAGTGCGTCATGCCACATTTACATGCCCAGACCATTTGATTACATACTGCACCAGTTGCAGCAGTTCCATGGCTCTGAATGATGAAGTAGAAAACTGATCTCATTGTATCTGCATATAAAAAGTTGATTTTATCTCTTTTTCACTATATAACATTGTTGATTCCCATTTATACTAAAAATATTTACCAAAAACAAAAAATATAGACTCAAATGTATTTCTATACGTGTTTTTTTCATGTTTTGTTTAAAAATTCATAAAAAAATATTTATTTCATGTATTCGTTTTATTTTTGTTTTATTAGCTCAGTAAAGAACCCTATATACATAGACAGTAATTAAAATTAAGATTACTTTTACAATTTCCTGAAAAATGATCGATGAAATGTGGGTCAATATGACCCGGGGTCATCGTCTTTGCAATTATTTTCACGTCATTGGCGCCGGGTTAATTAAAAAAGACATCATTTGGTGGTGCGTCAGTCTCGATTTTATTGTAACTTGACTTACTTGACTTAAGGTACTATGTCCCTTAGATGGAGCCGAGGGCGTCCACAACAGTCCTTCATCGCGTTCGGTCTTGAGCTTCGCGTTTGATCTCGCTCCAGGTCTTGCCGATCGGTTTATTGTAATGATACTTTAATTCAAGAGTTACTAAGGCAGAGTTACTTCTGCTCATCGAATTAATCTTTACCATGTTAATAATGGTGTAGTGCCCACACCAGTATGTTGGCTACCGATTCTAAGATGATAGTTATTCACTCATGAACTGTGAATTATGATCGATGCTTACTAATCGCACCTTAAATAACCCTAACCTAAATACACCAATGCTTTACTTCCTAGATTAGGCCTCCACTGTCGATAAGTTTCTGGGTTGCTCATCCACATTTTAAACATTGTTACTTCATAATATTCCGTGAAAAACAAAACCAATGTCACAACTCCACCATTTTGGGAAAATGGGGAGCTTTTTCCGTGCAAGCAAGTGTAATACACCGTTATAGTTATTCTCAAAGCGACATAAAACCGTACAGCACCCAGCTCCACGATATTGTCTTTGTAAGCTCTGACACATACGGTCAGACTTAAAACGTACGGTGTGACGTCATAAAGTTCGTACAGTCATACTTATTATAAAGAGGGATTAAGATACATATGAAAGGGATTCCATTTAATAAACAGACAATTACTTATATTTATACATAGAAACAAAAAATAAAAATGGATTTAGAAAACCTCATCATTTTTTTTGTAATCTATATAAATAAAAATGAATTGCTGTTCGTTAGTCTGATTAAAACTCGAGAACGGCTGGGCCGTTTAAGCTGATTTTGTTTTTAAAATGTTTGTCGTAGTCCAGGGTAGGTCTTAACGGTGAGCAAATAAGGAAAAATTGCGATGGCTTATTATTGCCTTTAAGGCGGAACAGAGTTCGCCGGGTCAGCTAGTTTTAAATATAAGTTCCATAACTTTTTCTAATGTTGGTAGCCTGGATATAGATAGGCCTGTCCATTATGGAAATCATTGGGGTTGGCCTATGTTTAGCAGTGGACGTCATTTATGGCTGACATGATGATGATGATGATGAAAATAAAAGTTGCCTTACCTCATAACACATCAGCTCCCATCAATATTTTTTTTACTTTGTAATGTTCTGTAGTAGGTAGGTAGTTAGGTACAGTAATAATTATAACTGTGGAATTTTTATTCCAGCCTGCTTTTTCCGAGTCTGACTGTACCCAACTCCAGGGCACCTCAGGGTAGATATTTGCGTAGAAATACTAGTATGGTAGCGGTAAAGGGCCCTGAATCATTGTAAAGATCGGTCGGGTTATTGTTTGGGTTGAAGTGGGTTCGAAATTTAAGTAAATTTTAATTTAAATAAATAATTAATTAAAATGCGTGTGATAATAAGTATAGTCGCGGTGGCGCTGTGCGTGGCTGGCACGAATTCGGGGACTTTGCGTAAGTTTTCACTTAGTTTTCTTAATTTCCAAAAAGAATAGAAAATATCACATGATGATTGGTAATCGGATTATTTTAAATAAATTACTTATCATAAATATTTGAATTTGTTAAACTGTATTCTGGAAAATATAACCGTAGTTAACATAATTAGTTAATATTGATTTCATAACGAAAAATGCTTAATACTAAAAATAAATAACCAACAATAATTGACAGACATTGGCGATTTCCTTATTTCACTATTTTAAAAACATAATTTTGATGAGAAACTTTAAACTAATAAGTATTGATTTTGACCCACTTTTTAAGGCGCTACATGTTCGGATGTTAGGTAATTGATTCTAATCAAAAGTATAAATAATACATATCTCTGTCTGCGGTTCCTTTCATTTCAGTTCATAACCGAAATAGCATCCTTTGCGATCTCCTCTACCTATAATACGATTCCCAATGAATTCAAGAGTCTTATAATAGCTTTCTGTCAATAAAAATAATGCTTCCTAAGTAGTTTCTGTATTGTTGCTGCGTGAATTTCGTTTCGCTACAAACAGGGTAAAGAAGACGCACCAGTGCATCGTCTCATAAGTACATAATACACATAAATTCATATAATATATTCATAGTAGGTAGTAGATGCGGTTTCGAAACAACAAATATTACAGTCCCCTGTGGTGTCCTCTGTACATCACGTATCATAATCTCATCTACCTCTGCAATGAACACTATTTTTCACTAAGGACCATTTTTTTTTCATACACTATTTCACTCTTCATGGTTTTCGACACAAAAATGTAGCCTGCATCCGCCTTTCATGTCCAATCTCAGTTTCATAATTTAAAAAAAAAATAATGTTTTAAAAACTAATGAAAACGAAATCCCCTAAGTAGGTATCTATTCATCCTCTTTTGGATAACCTTTGATTGAGCCGATTAAATAATATACCAAAGGATAAGATGTTCAATCACATGTTTGGAATTTGTATTGGCTGATTAAAGTCATAGCTGACTTGTATTTATAATGCTCCATGTAGGTATGTACACCTCATTCAAAGTCATTCTCGATCAAAATCATTATCCAACTTTTATTGCTAGAGATAGATTCAAATTAGATCGTTGAACTAATATTATAGGTAACTTTCTTACATAAAACGTTCCTTACTCATCTTGAAATTGTATACCTACTTTTATTTTTACATTTATTAAAGTAATTTAGGTATGTTCAAATGAAAAATTAGTAACTGCATTAATGAACTATTGACATTTGAAATGTTTTGACAAACAAGTGTGAGTCACTTACTGCATCTTATAATGTATACCTATGTCAAACTGTCTCTATTTCCAGAAGAAAGCAAAAGTCTAAAGACTAGCTAATAACAGTACTAAAACAGTTCAGTAAAATAGACATCAAGTCAATCTCTAAATTAAACCCTTGAAGATTTGCCTTAACCTTAATTAGTCATTTTTAGTCGCAAAGAATTTTACCTTATTACTAAGATGGCAAATTGTGGCCACAACAAAGCCTTGTCAAATAATTTTATAAGCAGTTAGTAATTTTCCGAGATGACGTAAATATTATCCTTTAAGTGTTCATAAAACTCCTACCTATAAACCTATAAAATATAAATAATATACCTACAAAACTAACGATAATGCTACTTAAACCGCTCGTTAATTCAATTGAAATTCTTATAATCCGCCGTCATATTACTTACCTATATTATAGTAATTGGGTAGTTGTCCAAAGCGCTACGTTATTAAGTACTTAGAATCATTCAAGAAAAGTACTAGCTCAAGTAAACAGATATAATATTCTGCTTTCGGTCATGGTCGCGATCACTAAACTACACTACGGTACATCTTAACGTTATAACTTAACTAACACTATACATAGGCGTAAGGGGCTGCCAGATTGCACTAGTGCCCACCCCAAAAATCTTAGAAATAGAAAATCTACATAGATGTTATCTTTGCAACAAAAATGTTGGTATGATTGTAGAGTTTGAAATGCAGTCACTTTGCATAATTTTCAAAAGTTATCAAACCCTTTGAGATGGTATTCTATTAAATAGAGAGTGAAACAAATACAGATACCTACCATAATATGTAACGAAATGGGTACAAAACATTCGCAGAATCAGTTGTATGGTGGGCTTAAGTAACATTGAAAAGCGTGAACTGTGAAGCCGGCCGGCGTTGCCCGGTGATAACAATGACAACAATAATGTCGAGAAAATTATAAGTTCAAAGTTACCTCTATAAAAGATTTTAAAAACCATGAATATTAAAATTGATCTTTATGTTATACACATGCACGATGTTAGTTCGGTCGTTGAGGGCTGAAGAAACCCTTGGGCGGGCTGAGATGAAAGGGTTCAGTACGTGCATTAATAAACTGTGTGTGTAGGCTTATGAACTGAGGTAGTGAAATGTGAATAGGCACTCGGCGCTTTAAACTAATCTTATCATCTCCAACGCGACAGTTCCAAACCGGTCTCTATGGTCGGCCCTGGCTAAGGGCTGACATTGGCACCCTATTACTACACTGGCCTCACACTTGTATTTATACACCAAATTCTAATTGCACAACCGCGACCGCTTCCACGCCATTCATAAAATGTCTCCGTGACGCAAGACCCGGCGGCATTGACTTTGTAAACATTTTTGTTGATTAACAAACAAGCTAAAGTATTCGAGATTAACGTGTTTTTAAGAATTTTAAAAAGGTTGTCTCTAACTGCCTCTGAGTTTCAACTTTCAGATTTTCAATCAACGGATGTGTATTTTAAATTCCGGCAAGACCGACTTCGAAGGTCTTTCGCTAATGTTATATTCGAGTAGTAAATTAAATAACTTTTATTAATTACAAAAATAGGTTCCTCTCAAACTAAAAGCTCATGAAAACATACAAAGAAATTCCGTGCCAGACCAACACCTTCAATCGAAGCCATTAATAGCATAATAAAATTCACTTAAAGGAAATTGCGATCACACAGCACTTCTACAATTCAATTAGGTATAATTCCGAAGGATACTTGGCCAATATCGATTTCAGAGGGATGTGCCGATATTACGTTTCGAAATNGACACCCCTATTCGAAATATTTAATTAAATCCGTTTTTTACTACTAGCCTAGATTCTCAATCTCCGCGTAGCAACACGAATCAATTCGTTAAACCACGTGTGCGCAAACAATTGGTTAATTAATAATTACAAAGTAATGACAGTGGGAACCGACGCCATTGTAATCATGGTGACAATAAAGGTTCTATAGCTGACAATTTTCAAGACCTACCCATTGTGCATTGTATTCAAAACTTTGACCAAAAAAGAGACCATGTTTACATGTTGCAACTCAATGAAATGCAGTCAAAACTACTTTTAGTTTTATGGAACATTTTAATAAGTGTGTTTGGCCATGAAATTGTTGCAGCAACACAAGCCTTATGATCTCAAGTAAAAGTACCTAACGGGTCGGCTTCTCAATTTCTTATGAAAGGGGCAATCTCTGATTTTTCCTTTCTTTTACCATTTTGTGCTTTGTGATAACTAGGATCACAAACGGTGTCAAACCTTACAATCACATAAAATTATTTTACACGTGCGTCTTGCCTGGAAATCGACCCCTGTACCTCTGCGTTGAGAAAGTCCTACTCCTAAACTAGTGGACTTCGAAAGCCAAGTTTTTGTTATTAACTTTTATCACTATTTAGGTAGGTCCTTAGAGTTTTAGTTGGTAGTCAATATTGATGATTACCTACCTCAACGTCTACCTATTGTTGCTTTTCGCTAAATGATAGAGCATACAGATCATCATGAGAATGATGTAACCCATTGGCCTTGACATGACAACGGGTTTTTGAGTTCAATATGGCACTCATTAATTAAAAAACCAGATTCGGGTCCTAACATGTAATTTGTTAAAACCGGTATAAAACCACGTGGGCCCTTTACGAAACGTGATACAGTAGGTATAAAACACTTGCTTGACTCATGAAATTTACTTAACGCTAAGTTCTTTTTAAATATTTTTTAGGACTGAAGGTTTGTTACCTTGTCATGGAATCTGTCTAACTTAAGTTCTCCCAATTTGGTGGGTGCATGGAAGGGCAAGCTATATTTTAGACTTGTAAGTAACATAAGTGCCCTCATAATCTTTTCTTAAAGGTTTTAAACCTTTGTTTGTCACCTGTCATCCGCTTTGCAATGGAGGGAAGTCGAACCTTAATTTCGAACTCCTCCTATGTTCTTCTGATTAATTTCGTTGCGGGTCCAATGACAGTTCAACTTTCCCCCGGGACAAACTTGACCTTCATTGGTTGGGTTTTTGTGGCGGTCAAGCTGTAGATCCTGGCTACACAGGAGTTGCAGTGGTGGGAACGAGAGGTGGGGATGGGAGGTCCCGTATAACATAAGTGCCCTGAAAAGGGCCTAGGCTTATACTCGTGTTGGTGTTAGTACCTATTTAGTCTGTTATCTTAGTAGCAATTTTTCGTTCACGTTAGTCTGCAAGAACTCTTCCGTGGGTATAAAGATCTCCTCCAAACTATGTACGGTCTGGATGTTGCTGTTTACATTTGGACTAGTACTCTTGTTCCAAACTCGTGACCGCCCGCGGCGCTCACGTGTCGGCGCCGGCCGACATTGACCTGCTCCACCAGTGTCACGACGGACGTGTCACAACGTTAAGCCGCCTCTACTCGTACATCGCGTCGTGAAAGATGCGAGACGAACATGAACGCGGACAAAAGATAGCCAATTGTTTACGGTCATTCGATTCTTCGCAGAAAATGGTTAGAGGACATACGAAGACGGCAAGAACTAATGGGGTAGGTTATGTAGTTGTTTATACTATAGTCTAGATTGCTAGCTAACAAAGTTTATTATGTTTTTCCGCTATTTCGATTCAGCACCAGCCTAATATTGTCCCCTGAAGTGGCCTGAAAATGGTCGTTTTTGGGACGTGCCCTGAAAAGACCCAAAAATAGGTACTCATCACATTATAAACTGAATAAATTATCCATTTTAATGTCTATCCAAGTAAAATTCAAACTTATGTGAAGATTATTGTGAAACAGCTAACCCTCACCTAATGTTTTAATTAGTGTTAATAATTTTGAAGTTTTCTTTGCTACAATATCTTTATTGTGCTAGCAAGTAGCCAATCGAATCAGCCACTCCAGGCAAGACTCTGGTCCAGTGTCAGTATTGCTATTGTCTATAGCTTAAGAAGCAATGGTAGAGACGGCTATATTTCAAACTAGTATAAGTGTCTTGAAGTGACCTAAATTTTAAAGAATTTGAATTTGGATGCGGACAAGTTTTATCCAACCTTAACATCTATCGGCGGCAATACCGACGGCCGATGTTACGCAACACGCGTGCAGCCAGTGGGGCAATGCACTTCGACTTGGCCTTCGTGGCTGCAGCGTTGTGCAACCAGCTCTAGGATGGGTGACCGGCTGTAGCTGTCTTCAAATGTTATTATGCTATTTTTATAACCGTGATGCAATGAAAGATTATGGGTTTATAGCGAGCTAAAAGGCTCATGAAAACGGACTATGATCATGTGCTATAAAGTGACTTCATAAAACTGCGAAATTAATATTAATTACACTAGATACGTCGATTGTCCCTCACTTTTGAGCTCAATTAATTTTAACGTACCGCTTAAGCTCCCACGTTCCTGCAAGTATGTCCCCTTCGCAACAAAATTTAGTAAAACCAATCTGGGTTACCACGCCACCATGAGCAGACTGCAAAGGGAGTACAACAGACTGTGCAAAGCATGTGACGTCGACATCTTTCACCATAAAATTCAGCCTTTGAAATTCAGGCGCTCTGTGCTGAGGTCCCTTACAGCCACAGCAAATAATGTAAAAGAAATTTATTCATAATGTTCATTACATTTCAATTTTTCACTGTGTTACCTACTATCTCTTAGTTCTTATATTTGCAACTGTCCACATTGCATGCCGTGGCAGCCTTTAATTAAGACAGCACTTAGTTTTAAGCACTTTTAGTTATAGTAATTTCATGTATGCGTGTTTGTCTTGTTGGTTGTCCTAATAAATAAAATAAAATAAATAAAATAACTACAACTAATTATAATAAAATACAATTGTAATAACAAATTGGATGACTTAAGCGTATTTTCCGATTGTAAATAAGTATTCAAAACCTGACACATACTTAAATACTGAAACAATGCTTACTGGCATTTACAACTGCAGAATATCGTAACAGCTAGGAAGGAACTACTGCAGATTACTCAGTCCCATTTAAATTAAATGTGTGTACTTACAAGCGGACACAAAATTGAAAAACATTGACTTTTAAACAGTTTTCAAATCACGTTCAGTACGAGTACTTAAGTAGAACAAGTATGACCAACCGCAGAGGGAAGGAAAATATCTGTTCACTTTAAGTATTTTTCCACCCAATTACACTGAACACTGTTCAGCGAGGTTAGATGACAGATCCTCAATACGAATAAGTTGGGCACTTCTGATAGACCAAATTACTTTTCCTTTTCCTTCCAAATTGCATAACTAATCAAACACCGAAGAGTATAGTTTTTTTATGGATAACAAGGCAGCTATTTTACCGCATTAATTCCAGCACCAAATGCTAACGCGCCTTTTTTTCTTTCCAGCCGCCTTCCTAAAGGCCTGCTCCGCATCAGACAGCAAGCTCGACCAGTGCATAGAGAAGGTCATCGAGGTCGGCGGGCCCAAGTTCACGGATGGCATCCCAGCGCTGGGCATCGCGCCCCTGGACCCCCTCAAACTGGGGACGGTGGTCGTCAACAACCCTGCGCTGAAGCTGACCTTCCAAGATACGGTGGTGACCGGACTCAAAGGATTTAGGGTTAATTCTTACAAGTAAGTTCAAAAAATTCCTTTTACAATGGGTAAGTCCATGATGTGCCTGTTTTTGTTAGTTTTATTTTCGTTTTTGTTAGCATATTATTAGACAGACTTACCAAATTTTTAGACAAACACAGCACGTGTTTACATACATGCATTTGCATAACCGATAACTCTAAAAGGTAAGTAAGCAAATAATACACAGAATTGACATGACATTAAAATTGACATGCTACTGCGTTTGCCAATGCCAATACCATATTAAACCGATAGGTATCCAAAATGCTGTAGCTAAGTACCTACTACAAACGACCCTAACTAAAGCTACTAGACTTTCGTTTTAGGTTACCAGACGTAACTAAAAAGTAATTCAGCGGGATCGTAACTGAAAACTAATTTCCAGGATGAACAGCGCCAAGAACAAGGCGACGTTTGACTTCACGGCCAACGTGACGCTGAAGGCGCACTACGAAATCGACGGCCAGGTTATCATCCTGCCCATCAGGGGAAACGGCCCTGCCAAGATCAAGATCAGTAAGTCACAGACTACCTTTTAAAATAATTATTAATCTCCAGTTGCAAATTAATCCATAAGCAAATAAAGTTTAGAGCATAACGTCTTGGGCGGCACCTAAACGTAACTGTAATGATAACCGGTGCTTTTTGTATGGAGTTTGACAGACTTTTGACGTTTGTTAAATTTAAAGTAAGATGGTGCAATTCAACTTGAGTATTCAAAGTCTGAAAAAAGATAGAGAAGATATCTACTTAGAATCCTGCATAACAAAAATATCCTGGCTATACTTAGTGGCTATGTTTGCGAAGACACTAATCTAGACAAGACTAAGTACAGTGACTACAGACAGCCTTCCATACTTAAAGGATCTAAACCCAATAATGTAAAGAAACCAAAAGTTCACAATGATCTCCTTGCAGCGAACCTGAACATCGTGATCAAGTACGACTTCGACACTCGCGACGGGCACTGGGTGGTCACCAGCTACAAGGACAGCTACAAGATGGACCGCGCGCAGTTCAAATTCAGCAACCTCTTCGGAGGCAACAAGGAACTTGGTATGTACCATGGTGTCTATTGCCCACAGAACGTAGAACTAGAGGTATTGCCCATTATAGGAAGCTTGAGCCTTCATAAGGAGCAATATGCATTTGAGGTCTATTATTATTATGGCACAAGCCTTTTGTAGTTATAAGTAGGTAGGTAATGTAGGTATCTACATAAATAATATAAATAAATACAACCACATGGAAACTTCAGCAATACACGATGATACGATTGTTTTGCTAGAGTTGATGATCCTGTCAAACAATGTCTTCATGCATGAAACACGTATGCAGAACACTTTCAAAAATATATCAGATGATAAATGACCTACATACTTATCGGGTAGAGCCAGAAGAGTACCCTCCACAAATGCTTCAACAACATGAAAACTTCTTACATTACCTTTACAAAAACTTTATGAACTCAGCACACAACTCTAACCAAACCGTCCATTCCAGCGGAGACCACCCACAGGTTCACCAACGAGAACTGGGAGATCATAATGCAGGAGATCGCGCCTCCCGCCATCGAGGGCATCATCAAGAGCTGTGTGGCCGTCGTCAACTCCTTCTTCGGCGCTGTACCAGCTGCCGACCTGCTGCTGCCTTGAATGGTTGGAACTTGAAAGTCTTGAAACCGATACCTTGGTGTTTGGAGCTCGAAAACATGCTTACCCCACCCTACCATTTTTTTTCGACTGGAAAATGCATGAAACTGCATACTCACTAGCCCGTCGCCGATGAGTTATGTGGGGCTCTTCACCTTAACCCTTCAGCCTCATCTTTGAGGATTCATCATCTGCTTCGTTCTACGATATTGTACTTATTTACAGTTCTTTCACTTCTCTATTGCGACTTTTAACCAATCAGCCTCATCTTTGAGGATTCATCATCTGCTTCGTTCTACGATATTGTATTTATAGTTCTTTCACTTCTCGATTGCGCCTATTAACCAATCAGCCTCATGCTTGAAGATCCATCTGCTTCGTTCTACGATATTGTATTTAGTTCTTTCACTTCTCTATTACGACTGTTAACCAATCTGCCTCATGGTTGAAGATCCATCTGCTTCGTTCAGCGCTATTGTATTTGCAGTTCTTTGCCAGCTCGGTTTCTTCAATGTTGTTTAAACCTAACCGCTTTTTATTTCTATGTCAGAGCATTCATCGACATGCGATTACGATGTATTTATTGTACCTATTGTACTTACGCCATCAAAGACTACTATTATATATACGCCATGCTACTTACTTCTACTAATAATATTAGCATTATAATCACGGGTAAGTTACTCATATACTAATTACAAATCATTTAGGGTAATTGTGCCGGTTTTCCGTCCAGCTCCTGTTTTCGTCCATTTGACCGACTTGCCACAAACAAATACGGAAAATTAGAATACAAACCTAACTTTCCGTGCAAGTTTGGACTTGTTACAATCTATAATATCTAAGTAACAGTTCTGCCTGCATGAAAATGTAATTTGACAAGTAATAACTCCAAAAAAATCTACAGAAGTTGCTGCTGCACACAGGTGAATGGAAAACGTCGTCAAGTTAGAAAAAAAACGTGCCGGTAGGGAACTTTTATGGTATGTTTAATTACTGTTTTAGCTACTTTACGTAATGTTTTTGGCACGTATGTCTAATTATTAGCATTATAACCACTATTTTAAGGGTTTATTNAGTGGCCTGAAAATTGACGTTTTTGGGACGTGCACTGAAAAGACCCAAAAATAGGTACTCATCACATTATAAACTGAATAAATTATTCATTTTAATGTCTATCCAAGTAAAATTCTAACTAATGTTAAGATTATTGTGAAACAGCTAACCCTCACCTACATGTTTTTGTTTGTGTTAATACCTAATTATGAAGTTTTCCTTGCTACAATATCTTTATTGTGCTAGCAAGTAGCCAATCGAATCAGCCCAGCTCCAGGCAAGACTCAGGTCCAGTGTCAGTCTTGTCTATAGCTTTAGTAGCAATGGTAGAGACCGCTATATTTTAAACGTGTATAAGTGTCTTGAAGTGACCTAAATTTAAAGAATTTGAATTTGAATGCGGACAAGTTTAATCCAGCCTTAACATCTATCGGCGGCAATACCGACGGCCGATGTTACGCAACACGCGTGCAGCCCAGTGGGGCAATGCACTTCGACTTGGCCTTCGTGGCTGCAGCGTTGTGCAACCAGCTCTAGGATGGGTGACCGGCTGTAGCAGTCTTCAAATGTTATTATGCTATTTTTATAACCGTGATGCAATTAAAGATTATGGGTTTATAGCGAGCTAAAAGGCTCATGAAAACGGACTATGATCATGTGCTATAAAGTGACTTCATAAAACTGCGAAATTAATATTAATTACACTAGATAACTACAACTAATTATAATAAAATACAATATTTATAACAAATTGGATGACGTAAGCGTATTTTCCGATTGTAAATAAGTATACCTACTTCAATACCTGACACCTACTTAAATACTGAAACAATACTTACTTGCATTTACAACTGCAGAATATCGTAACAGCTAGGAAGGAACTAATGCAAATTACTCAGCCACATTCAAATTAAATGTGTGTACTTACAAGTGGACACAAAATTGAAAAACATTGACTTTTAAACAGTTTTCAAATCACGTTCAGTACGAGTACTTAAGTAGAACAAGTATGACCAACCGCAGAGGGAAGGAAACTATTTGTTCACTTTAAGTTTTTTCCACCCAATTACACTGAATCCAGCAAGGTTGGATGACAGGTCCTCGATACGAATAAGTTTGGGCACTTCTGATTAGACCAAATTACTAAAATTCCTTCCAAATTGCCTAACTAATTAAACATCGAACAGTATAGTTCTTTATGCATAACAAGGCAGCTATTTGACCGCATTAATTCCAGCACCAAACGCTAACGCGCCTTTTTTTCTTTCCAGCCGCCTTCCTAAAGGCCTGCTCCGCATCAGACAGCAAGCTCGACCAGTGCATAGAGAAGGTCATCGAGGTCGGCGGGCCCAAGTTCACGGATGGCATCCCAGCGCTGGGCATCGCGCCCCTGGACCCCCTCAAGCTGGGGACGGTGGTCGTCAACAACCCTGCGCTGAAGCTGACCTTCCAAGATACGGTGGTGACCGGACTCAAAGGATTTAGGGTTAATTCCTACAAGTAAGTTAAAAAAATCCTTTCATAATGGAGAAGTCCATGATGTGCCTGTTTTTGTTAGTTTTGTTTTCGTTTTTGTTACCATATTATTAGACAGACTTACCTAATTTTTAGACAAACACAGCACGTGTTTACATACATGCATTTGCATAACCGATAACTCTAAAAGGTAAGTAAGCAAATAATACACAGAATTGATGTGACATTAGAAATGACTATGCAACTGCGTTTACCAATGCCATATTAAACCGATAGGTATCCAAAATACTGTAGCTAAGTACCTACTACAAACGACTCTAACTAAAGCTACTAGACTTTCATTTTAGGTTACCAGACGTAAGTAAAAAGTAGTTTAGCAGGATTGTAACTGAAAACTAATTTCCAGGATGAACAGCGCCAAGAACAAGGCGACGTTTGACTTCACGGCCAACGTGACGCTGAAGGCGCACTACGAAATCGATGGCCAGGTCATCATCCTGCCCATCAGGGGGAACGGCCCTGCCAAGATCAAGATCAGTAAGTCACAGACTGACTACCTTTTAAAATCATTATTCATCTCCAGTTGCAAATTAACCCATAAGCAAATGAAGAAATTGTTTAGAGCATAACGTCTTGGGCGGCACCAAAACCAGAACCAAAAAAAAAAAACAATTTCCTCGAATTTATTTCCTGTAAAAAAGTCGCAAGTCACATTTCTTTGGGGTTTCGCAAGGGTCGATAACTGTTCCACTTCAAGTATTCAAAGTCTGAGAAGAATAAAAAGGTAAAGAAGATATCTACTTAGAGCCCTGCATAACAAAAATATCCTGGCTATGTCTGCGAAGACACTAATCAAGACAAGACTAAGTACAGTGACTGCGGACAACCTTCAATACCTAAAGGGCCTAAAATTAAATGGGCTTAAACCTAAAGGCCAGAATAATGTAAAGAAACCAAAAGTTCACAATGATCTTCTTGCAGCGAACCTGAACATCGTGATCAAGTACGACTTCGACACTCGCGACGGGCACTGGGTGGTCACCAGCTACAAGGACAGCTACAAGATGGACCGCGCGCAGTTCAAGTTCAGCAACCTCTTCGGAGGCAACAAGGAACTTGGTATGTATGGTATTTACCCACAGAACATAGAACTAGAGGTATAACCCATTATAGGAAGCTTAATTGAGCCTTCATGGGGAAAAATATGCATTTGAGGTCTATTTATTATGGCACAAGCCTTTTGTAGTTATGTACCTACGTATGTATAACCCTGGAATAAAACCACATGGAAACTTCACCAATAGGTACCTACACGATGATGCAATTGTTTGGCTAGAGTTGATGCAATTAAACAAATGTCTTCATAAAACACTTATGCAGAACACTTTCAAAAATATATCAGATGATAAATGATTTAACAATGACCTACATACATACTTATTAGTCCAGTCAATAAAGCATTATAGATGGAAAACTGTAGAACACAATTTCTGACTTCAGGACTTTATTTAGACTAGTTAGGAGGTGAACATAGCAAAAGTCCCCGCCCTTAGCCCTTGAGCCGGCGGGGAGAGGAGGGTTTAAAGGTGCCACTTTTCGGTTTTTCGCTTAATCCTCGGAAACTATGCGACCTAGTGACATGACTACTATGAACCAAAAAAAGCATATTCAATTTGCTACAGATGAGATAGACAAGTTTTTCTATGAATTGTATAGTTTTCGCGGCATCTGCTCTAGAAGGTCTGTAATATTGGAAATTTTATTTTTGTCTTACATGTTCCCATCAGGAGAAAATCGACTAAATCAACATTGAGCAATCATTCTAGACATGCGGGAGCATGTTAAGCCTAGTTCCAGCGAGGGGACTACACCGTGCGTATATTTAGACGAATCACTTTGAGCCACTTTGGACTCCTCATCACTCAAAAACTACTGTGCATTAACACTTCAAATTTGGCTCATGTGTTGAGACTTGCAAGATATGCATAAGTTTCAAATTTCATAAATATGCCTCAAACGGTTCTTTAGATATTGACGTCCAAAAATCTACATGTCTGACCTATAGACCAAATTCTAACCACTTCCAGATGACCTCGAAGGTTCAAATTTGGCATCCAGAAAGGTAGTTATGTAAATACAAAGGAACAAATAAAAAACCAGTAAATTTTAACATTTCACATGTGATAGATAGATAGTAGTGCTCTAAATATCGATTTTTGAACGTCAATACCTAAATAACCGTTTGAGGTATATTTATGAAATTTGAAGCTGATGTATATCTTGCAAGTCTCAATACATGAGCCAAATTTGAAGTGTTAATGCACACTAGTTTTTGAATGATGAGGAGTCAAAAGTGGCTCTAATTGGTTCGTCTAAATATACGCACGGTGCAGTCCCCTCCATGGAACTAGGCTTAACATGCTCCCGCATGTCTATAGTGTTTGCTCAATGTTGATTTAGTCGATTGTCTCCTGATGGGAACATGTAAGACAAAAATAAAATTTCCAATTTTACAGACCTTCTAGAGCAGATGCCGCAAAAACTATACAAGATATAGAAAAACTTGACGGTCTCACCTGTAGCAAATTGAATAAGCTTTTTTTGGTTCATAGTAGTCATGTCACTAGGACGCATAGTTTCCGAGGATTAAGCGAAAAACCGAAAAGTGGTACCTTTAAACCCCCCTCTCCCCGCCGGCTCAAGGGCTAAGGGCGGGGACTTTTGCTATGTTCACCACCTAACTAGGCTAAATAAAGTCCCGAGGTCAGAAATTGTGTTCCACGGATTTCTCTCTACACCGTCGTTAAGGCATTCATTGACTGGACTATATCAGGTAGAGCCAGAACACAACCCCGTACAAATGCTTCAACAACTTGAAAACTTCTTACATTACCTTTACAAAAACAACGTGAACTCAGCACACAACTCTAACCAAACCGTCCATTCCAGCGGAGACCACCCACAGGTTCACCAACGAGAACTGGGAGATCATAATGCAGGAGATCGCGCCGCCCGCCATCGAGGGCATCATCAAGAGCTGTGTGGCCGTCGTCAACTCCTTCTTCGGCGCTGTACCAGCTGCCGACCTGCTGCTGCCTTGAATGGTTGGAACTTGAAACCGATACCTTGGTGGTTGGAGCTCTCGAAAACATGCTTACCCCACCCTACCCTTTTTTTTCGACTGGAAAATGCATGAAACTGCATACTCACTAGCCCGTCGCTGATGAGTTATGTGGCTCTCCACCTTAACCCTTCAGCCTCATCTTTGAGGATTCATCATCTGCTTCGTTCTACGATATTGTATTTAGTTCTTTCACTTCTCTATTGCGACTTTTAACCAATCAGCATCATGTTTGAAGATCCATGTGCTTCGTTCAGCGCTATTGTATTTGCAGTTCTTTGCCAGCTCGGTTCCTTCAATGTTGTTTAAACCTAACCGCTTTTTATTTCTATGTCAGAGCATAAATCGACATGCGATTACGATGTATTTATTGTACCTATTGTACTTACGCCATGCTACTTAGGTACTTCTACTAATAGTATTAGCATTATAATCACGGGTAAGTTACTCATATACTAATTACAAATCATTTACTAAATGGCATACATAATCAAAAACTACATAAACCCATGACCATGAAAACAACAGCATTCAAACTAAACCTGACAAGTTACAAGTCAAGAGCATACTCATACATAAACCTATGCATAAATCATGATATATAACAAAAGTTTAATTTATATTCTGGTTTGTTTCGCCTGGAAGTTAAGATCTGAATTCTGTAGAATTCTTTTCTTCTAATTAAGTAAGTATAAGCAATAATAAATACGTCTAACAATAATTTTCTCTCCAGGCGACACCATCCACAAAGTGATCAACGAGAACTGGGAGCCTGTGATCCGCGACATCGCACCCTACGCCTTCGAGCAAATCATCAAGTCCTGCGTGGAGGAAGTCAGCAAACTGTTTGGGGTCGTCCCCGCTTCGGAACTACTCTTACCATGAAACGATTCCGGGACCTATAGTTTGGTCTCCGAGCACGTAGAATTTTGTCCAATGACGATTAGGTATTTACCTGTTAATTGGTTACATTCGATTGGCGGCCTCATTTATGCTGCCTAAGATCCGGTAGATTTGAAAATTATAATATCCGATACGATTTCCACTTCAGTTAATTTATCTGCGACGGAAATTATTTAACCATTTTTGGCTTCCAATTAATTTTAAACTATTTTTAATAACATTCTGTGACAGTTTTGTTTCGATTAAAGCACTTAATTTATAAGTACAATTAACAATTCCAGTATCTCAAGCCAGTTTATAATTTAAGAGTAATATTAAGCAACTGTCCCAAATAACTCTGTGCAAGTCAAGTTTACTATGTCTTTTGGTGTTGAAATCATAATTTTAATCATGAAACTATTATTTTTAAACTCCCTTGTTTCTCTCATCAATAAAAGTGGTTACACAGCAAGATAAAATTCATGTTGGAAAATCTTAATAGGAATTTCAGCTTGTTATCCTATTCTTTTAGATAATGGAAACAAGATTTTAGACATAGGCTTTGATGATTTGTTAGCAGGCCTTAGAATTTGTTTTAGATAAATGTGATAATTATTGTTAAGAATTAGGATAAGGACTGAATTTAGAAATATTAATTTAATAAAAAAATAAGTACCTACTCTATTTTTTATTATAACATGTGAATTTAAAAATTTAATTTAATAAACACAGAATAATAATGTACAGGATATGAAGTTATCTTGCAAGTCAGATTATTGGACCAATCAACAAATATGAAATTGTCTTCCTTTATCTATTTTGATCATATTTTGGTTTTATAGTTGTTACACACATAAAACTAAATATTCAAAAATAAATGATGATTCTTTTCCCATTACACACAATATTGCAACAATTATTAAAATAATCCTTGTGGAGGCATTTGGCTGAAATGATGAAACTATTTTAATAATAAAACAATTTATTAACAAAATATGAACACTTTTATAAATGCAATAATAACAACATTCATGATATAAACAATAAAATATTGCACTTAAACACTATACATTAAAATATTGTTAAGGCACTTTAAAATATTGAATACAATGGCATATTATTTAGCGTGGGCACATAGCATGACGGCCACCGTCAACAGGCAGACTTGCACCGGTGATGTTACTTGCCAGCTCACTGGCAAGGAAAGCAATCGTAGCAGCTACCTCCTCTGGCTTGCCAGGACGTCCCAAGGCATGAGTCTCCTTGCTTCTCTCCAAGAATGCTTTGTACTGTTCTTCGGACAGGCCGCCGCGTTTTTGCAACTCAGTCAAGATCACGCCTGGATTTACACAGTTCACCCTCACCCCTTTAGATGCCAGTTCTAAGGCCACACACCTGGTGAACTGGTCCACAGACGCCTTGGACACGTTATACGCGAGCACTCCCGGAAAAGACCGAATTCCATTCACGCTCGATACGTTCACGATGTTGCCCTTGGTTTTGATCAGATGTGGGACAGCCAACATGCTCAAATAGTAAATTGAACGAACATTAGTGTTCATCAGCCGGTCGTATTGAGCTAACGAAGTGTTCTCGATAGTACCTGTCTCTATGATCCCAGCGTTATTCACCAGCACATCCAACTGACCGTAGTGGTCGATGGTGTTCTTCACGATCTTTTCGATGTCGCTCTCTTTAGTCAAATCAGCTTGTACCGTGAAAGTTGGTGCAGATTTCTCGCAGTCTTTGCTCACTTTCTGAAGATTATCAGCGTTTCTTCCGATCAGAGATAACTTGGCACCAAGTTTGGATAGATAGACCGCAGTCGCCGCCCCAATACCGGAACTCGCGCCGGTTACAATTACTACTTTTCCAGCGAAATTCATCTTTACTTCAGCAACTATGATTTTCAGACGTATACTTTCTTAATTGAGTGGTTCTTATTTATAAGATTATTACGTAATAATACAGCTAACACACGAAAAATAATTCTAGAAATAATGTGCAACGCAAGTTGTTTACATATTTTATCATCAGTAAGTTTCGTATGTGTGACATATGATCACATTTTTCATAGTGAAACGTGATTGGCTGACAAGTTTTATGACAAAAGTGCGGAAAATTGAAAATTGAGAAAAAGTCCAAGAAAAAAATTATATCTGTATGTAATGAGGTATAGAAGTAGGTAAAACATGTTTGAACACTTCCCATTATTTTCTATTCTATTGGCAGGTGGGTTTGCACTAAATTATATAGCCATTTTTATTTATTTATTTATTTATTTAAGTCATTTTCCATAACTGCTCTGTGTAATTGAAAACCTACTGGATCTGTCAACAATTTATGTCAAATAGAGGTCGTTCAATGACCTTGAAAATAGTGATGTATATTTTTTACAAACCAAAAAGTTTAGTACAAATCGATATTTCGAAATAAATGCTGTCTCGTCTGCTGTATGCATTGTTTTGTCTAGGAGAGATTGTTGCCTGTTGCTCTATAGATTTTTGTCAAAAATTGACACGATATTAGTGACATAGCAATGTAAGTAAATTTTGGTAAATAATGGATTAAATGTACAAAAATTTGTAATATTTTTAGGTCTTACACTTTAAATTTTAGTTTATTTAAATGGCGGTTGTGAGTTTTGGACTATTCTTTACTAAATTGTAACTTTATTTGACAAGGTTATCCAATACAATCATCGTACATGATTATGAACTCCGTTGCAGAAAGAAGTAATCCACATACACATAGGACAGGCAGGTGTTCAAGTGGCCAACGCTTGCTGGGAACTTTATTGCTTGGAGCATGGAATCACGGCCGATGGCATTCTCGCCTTTTCTGACAATGACAGAAGCTGTGGCACTTTCTTCAGTCAAACTGGGGCTGGCAAGGTGGTGCCCAGAGTTGTTATGATCGACTTGGAACCAACTCCTATAGGCAAGCAATATCATGCTTATTTCATTCTGTTTGTTAGCTATTAACGTGATGCTTTATATCGTATGTCGCTTAGAAAATTGAATGCCCCTACCTTAATATGAATTATTTCATTTAGATGAAATAAGAACAGGAGCTTATCGACAGCTATTTCATCCCAACTCCTTGATTACTGGAAAAGAAGATGCCGCTAGCAACTTCGCACGAGGATATTTCGGAGTAGGGAGAGAAATGATTGAAGTGGCTCTAAATAGAATCAGAATCGCTGCAGAGGATTGCAGTTGCCTTCAAGGATTTATAATATTTAGGTCTTTTGGCGGTGGAACTGGCTCCGGGTTTACTGCTCTATTGCTCGAAGGCTTGGTCAGAGACTATGGGAAACTGTCCAAGATAGAATTCGCGATTTATCCAGCTCCAAAAATATCACCCATTATTGTCGAGCCATATAATGCTGTACTCACCTCACATGCATGTATGGAAACTGAAGACGTTTGTTTCATATTTGACAATGAAGCCCTGTACGATATCCTAGCAAGATTGTTGGATGTACCTAGACCAACGTACACTAATCTAAACAGACTTATTGCGCAGGTAATTCTTATTCTAGCATCTGTCATTTTGTGCAAAGTAGGAGTACCTACCTATTTAACTTTAACACAAACTGGTTTTAGGTCGTATCCTGTATGACTGCTTCGCTTAGATTCGAAGGTTCGTTGAACGTTGAGTTGGTGGAATTCAGAACCAATCTGATCCCTTATCCAAGAATTCACTTTCCCTTAGTAACATTTGCTCCTTTCATACCACCCACACGAGCTATGCATGAGACCATGACGACTCATCAGCTCATGATGTCTTGCTTCAATCCATCCAATCAAATGATCAAGTGTGACCCGAGAAGAGGGAGTTACATGTCTTGCTGCCTTTTGTTTAGAGGGGACGTAAATCCAAACGATATAAATTCTGGAATCAATCAAATCAAAAGCATGCGGAACATTAAATTCGTATCTTGGTCCCCAACTGGATTTAAGGTATTAATATTTACGAAAAGTCTAGTTCTCTATTAATTTTACGTTACTACCTTGGATGGAAGTGTTCCCAACTAAGGTAATTTACGCTAAGAAATTGATATTTTATTCCTAGATCGGTGTAAACTATCAACCACCAGTAACAGTACCTGGAGGGGACTTGGCTGCACTTCAAAGAGCAGTTGTGATGGTATCAAACAATTCTGCAGTTCGTGGAGCGTGGGAGAGACTCTGCAAGAAATTTTCTCTTATGTACGCCAAAAGAGCATTCGTACATCATTATGTTGGCGAAGGTTTGGAAGAACGGGAGTTCTCGCATGCACTACACAATATAAAAGCATTATCTAATGATTACAAAGAAATGGAAGATTGATCACATAATTGTGATTTTGTCAATATACAAGAGATTGTTGTGTTCTCCAGGAAAATAAAGATTTAACTACAATCAGTACATTACTCGTATCATTTTATTAAATGGATTATCTATTAATAGGTAAATTGTATAATGGTGATGTGTCTCAGCAGGCATAAATTATTATGATGAGGTATAAAAACATTAAACGAGAACCTATGTACTTCTTACTGAGTTACTTACATAAACATTTTCATAACATTGCCGTTATTTTTATTAGCGTTACGTTATTGACAACCAGCAGCAGCATAGGCCAGTGGGTCTAGTCAAAATGCCATCGCAAACCAATATGAAGTTTTCACTAATGTCAGTCGCCGCGTCACCAGTAATTCGATTCGATCGGAAAATGGCAGCCAAAATGCACATTGAACCACCAACGAGTAAAAAAANATGTATATATTTATTATTTTTTTAGCTTATAATAATAATTTACAATGTAAACTTACCTTGAAACATAGAATTGAATCAAATTATAGCTAAAATATATTATATCAGTATTATTTCGCAACCGGCGCCAGTCACTTTGAGAAAAGGTCGGAAAAAAATGTTGATTAGACATTTATTTTTGCACCACCCTCCAACTTTTTTATATTTCTTACCTTGTATCGACATCTAGATTAGGTTTTATCAAGTAATTTGACTTAACATTAGAAGTTGCGTTCAGAAATAAAGTTTAAAGAAGTGTACACACGTGTGTACAGAGGGCGTTAATGGGTTAAAGCGTGCGGTATGAGTGCTCCTATTTATTGGCCATAACATTTATATCTTAGGTTTAACAAATTTTTAAACTTCATCGCAATGTTTTAACATATTTTAAGTAAAACTTCCTCGATTTTTGTTAAGATTGAAGCAAGGATCACTCAATCCACATGCACATACAGTGGGTCTAGACAAAGTGCAAATTATAATCGCAAACCAGTCGAAAAGCACCTTTTTTGTATGGAGTTTTGACGGATTCGATTTTCGATTCGATCAAAAAGTGCGTTTTGTCTAAGGGGGCTGCTACCATTCTTTGCCCAGCACTGTAATCCACAGATAACTGTAATCGTAGAGGGTGGATGACGTGGATGTGGTGGACAGTTAGTGGCTTAAAAAGGCTTATACCCATGGCCGTAATACTTCAATATAAAAAAATGGATAGACTACTGAATTGACAGCAGACGTCAAAAATATGAAGTTGGTTTTGCTGCCGATGTTGTGATTATTTCACATTGTGAAATCGTAGTAAAATACGATAAAAATAGTACCTAGAATTCGAACTGCGGCAATAGATTTTAATTTTGCTATGTGTTAAACTTTCAGGATATAAACTATCGTTGTTTTGTTCTCATAGTAAACTGCGCAAGTTTCAAGTAAGTTTGTTCAGTTTTATCTTGTACCTAGTTTTGTATTCAAGTGGTCATTATTTTGTAATCAATTCAGTACTGTTTACTAATCAATTTACAGTTCGATCACCTGGCCACACAGTTGTTTGATAATAATAATGTCCTCTTGTAAGACAGCTTTATAACCTAAAATTGTGTTTTTTGCAGAAATGTTGAGTATCTCGCAACTTTGTCGCTGCGCCCAGCCACTAAGGGCAATGCAGAGTAAGCTGGTAGTATCTGCGACTAGAAATGGCTTCAGCTCCAGCAAAATGATCACCAGACAGCTGTACACACCAATGAAAAGTGGAAACAGTAACAAAATCGGTTTTAGAGTAAGTGTTTATCTATTTCGTTGTATTACACCTAAAGGTAGCACTGAAACAATCATATTGACAAACCCATAGTAATGCTAGGTTGATTAGACCTGTAAAGTGAAATTAACGCAAATGTTTAATGAGTTTTGATACATTAAATTCAAAATTTAGAACCATCACAGACTTCAAGCTAGTTTGTTATTGAGTGTAAATCATGGTAGTCTTTCTGAATATGGACTAGTTGTAAATTATTAATACAATCATAATATAATCATTATCTCAGAAAATGGGTTTGTCTTATCTTTGATTAAACCTTATCTATGGAAATTATTAATTGATTGATTAAATTGGTATTAAATTAGGGTTTTTGCGTACCCCCTTTTTTACCCTTACCTTGTGATACCCAGGTATTAGGTTTTTTTAATACCAAGGTATTTCCGATTTTATATTTCCGATATTTATTTATCAGAAAAAGACAAAATTGTGCAATCATGTTTTATTTAACAATGCAAAGCTATGCTAAATTCTGAAACTTTCGAGTTGAGAACGGTTGAGAAAAATAGTTTTTCACTGTCTTTTTGGGACTAGGCTTGAAATTTGATCAACTTCAGATTGAATTCACCAAGGGACGTAATAATAAAACTTCGTTTTTGTATTGCAGATAAAAGAGCTGTTGAAGTCAAACCAAATCGCTGTCCGTCTGTGTGCCAGCGCCCCCAAGCCACAGACGTCCAAGGTGGTCGGCTACTGGCTGCTGGGCTGCAGCGGAATGGTCTTCACAGCGGTCGTGCTAGGTATGGTCGCTGGATACTTGGTCCTTGTGTATTGCGTCTATTACGTCATCAACATTATGTTGAAAACTACTAATGGGAGTAAATAGAGGGTGGATAATATTTGTATTTATTAGATATTTACTTTGGAAGTTATTAGTTTTGCAATGTACAAAATGGAAATGGCAACTTTATTTAGAATAAAAAGTTAATAAGTTGACATTACGTATTTTTTAAGTAAAATTATGTACCTGAACAGCAATTTTTAATAAAGATTGTATCATTTATGCCATGGTTTTATTTCTATTTAAAACTCGTAAAGGACATAAGTAACAAGATAATACACCTTACCCTTACCCCTGAAAATAAAAAACTATAGGCTTACACCATCTCTTGAAATGTCACACCATTTTGCTATAAAAACTGACTTCTACCTATTTTTTTTAAATATTGTTAATTGCAATTACAGGGTTATTACTTCCTCTGCAACTCCTGTGTGTACAATCTACAGCTTGACTAAAGCCTGGTCCGTGAGCACGTAGAATCCCGTCCAATGACCCCAAGCTACCCATCCTTATCGCTCGCGCGTAATTATATTGCTGTCGCGACTGTGCGACGCGCGCCCGCAGTGAGTGTGCGAGCGCGACAGCAACATAATTACGTGCGAGTTACAAGGATGGGCAGCTTGGGGTCATTGGACGGGATTCTACGTGCTCACGGACCAGGCTTTACCAATAAACACCCAACCGACATTTATAGCAGTAGGATGTCAACTAGTCTAGGAATACCAGTGTTTTTATCTAGGTTTGTTTTTGAAATATATCAGTTTTAGTTATTTATATTTTGTTTTGGTGTAGGAGGAGTAACACGACTGACCGAGTCTGGGCTGTCGATGGTGACGTGGAAACTCTTGGGCGAAAAGCTGCCGACAACAGAAGAGGAATGGCAGCGCGAATTCGAGAAGTACCAGCAGTTTCCAGAGTTCAAATAGTAAGTTTGCAATGAGAAACATATTATTTTTTGTTTTTGTATTGATATGATAAACATTGTATGTAAACAAACCCATTATCTGTGTCTTGAAAGTTATTGTTGACAGCTTTTTATTGCTAAAATGATAAGGATGCACTTATTGACTTTATGATATCAGAATTAATAAAGAACATTCACAATTAATTACTACATATTCTTTATGTGAGCCAATTTTCAATATGTATACTTATTTTCAAAATAGGTTTTATGCACTACTTTTATAACCCTTCAAACTCTACGAATTGATACACGCACGATCTTTATCTATTGCTTGGGGTTTAATTTTATTTTGTTTTATTCAGAAAAAAAACAGCTTACAAATACATAAATGGGCTATAACATTTGTCATGCTTTGTAAATGATAAAATTCATCCTTTTTAATTGGTTTACATTTTCACTAGCTAATTTCGCCCTTTGTGTCCCAGCAAGAACCAGAACATAACACTCAACGAGTTCAAATGGATCTGGTGGATGGAGTACGCACACCGCACGTGGGGCCGCGCTATAGGGGCCTGTATGTTCCTGCCCGCCGCCTTCTTCTGGGCGCGCGGGTACCTGGACAAGGCCATGAAGATCAGGGTGGGGGTGTACTGTGCCCTGGTGGCTGCACAGGTCAGTTTGAACAGAGATTCAAGACTTAATACATAGTATTCCTTCCTGCTTGAAGCCTTCTTCTGGGCGCGCGGGTATCTAGACAAGGCAATGAAGATCAGGGTGGGGGTGTACTGTGCCCTGGTGGCTGCACAGGTCAGTTCAAACGTCGTTATCTTCCCGCTGCCTTCTTCTAGGCGCGTGGGTATCTAGACAAGCCATAAAGATAAGGGTGGGAATCTACTGTGCCCTGGTGGCTGCACAGGTCAGTTTGAACAAAGATAAAAGACTTAATAGTATTCCTTCCTGCTTGAAGCCTTCTTCTGGGCGCGCGGGTACCTGGACAAAGCCATGAAGATCAGGGTGGGGGTGTACTGTACCCTGGTGGCTGCACAGGTCAGTTTAAAATGAATTAGCAACTGTTATTTTCAGCCAAAACTGTCATTATAGTCCGGTCGCCGAGCACGTAGAAATTCGTCCAATGACCTCAAGCTACCGTTGCCGTTGCGACTGTGCGACGGGCGGCTGCAGCGAGTGTGCGAGCGTGACAGCAACATAACTACGCGCGAGCGATAAGGAGCTTGGGGTCATTTGACGAAATTCTATGTGCTCGACGACCGGGCTTAGTACATAATTAAGGATACTTAGGTGTAATATTGCCCGCCCATTGAGCGCTACTGTATTCTGGTAATAGCACAGGTCAGTTGAAAAGTGTATTAAATAATGTTATTAGTATTCGGGGCGCATATGTGCTTATACTTAGATGTTTTCCTGGCCGCCACCTTTTTTCTGAGTTCGCCGTCACCTGCACCAGGCCTGTAACTGTTAGGATAAACGCAAACTTTGTCCTGGTGGTGGCACAGGTCATTTCAGTTTCAATAGTTTTTACAGCATTTACGAATGTTGATAACAGTTCCTTTTAAGTATTTATTACTTTGCAACTATTGTCAGACATGTACCTATTGTTTTAGAAGTGTTTCATCAACTAGTTATTCTCGTGTTCTCCCCAGGGCCTAATGGGCTGGTACATGGTAAAGTCGGGCCTAGAAGACCGCTTCCAAGGCCCTTCAGACGTGCCGCGCGTGTCTCAGTACCGACTCGCGGCGCATCTGTCGCTGGCCTTCGTGCTATACTCGGGGCTGCTGGCCGGAGCCCTGCGGGTGCTCCGCCCCTTCCCGGCTGGCGGGATGGTGCAGAAACTCAAGGGGTTAAAGGGCATGACGGCGTTAGCGCATACCGTGAAGGCTATGGCTTTCTTTACTGCTGTTTCTGGTAAGTTCATTATGTACTATTTTAGGATTTAATTGAAGTAAAAACAGTGAAACTATTTGTTATTAATATAGAAAAAATAAAAAGTAATTATACAGAGCAATGAGCCATGTCCCTCTTTGCATATTTGATAAAAATACTTGTGCGCCTATCAGAAGTCATTTTTGAATCTATAGGTTACATTTTACTTTAAACCATTGGCTTTCCTTCATTTATCATGTATTTTACTTTGTTCTTCGTCTTCTTATCATTCATCATCACCATCATTTCAGCCATAGGACGTCCACTGCTGAACATAGGCCTCCCCCAATGCTTTCTACGTTGATCGATTGGTACCTGCGTCCAGCGCTTCCCTGCTACCTTTACGATGTCGTCGTCCTTTAGGATTCTTATCATTATGATTTGAGATTATAACAGACATAATGAGGGTATTTCAAGAGCAATATTTCCCTTCCAGGCGCATTCGTGGCCGGCCTAGACGCGGGTCTAGTGTACAACTCGTTCCCAAAAATGGGCGACGACTGGCTGCCTCCCGACATCATGTCATTCGAGCCGCCCGTGAGAAACTTCACCGAGAATCCCACCACTGTGCAGTTTGACCACCGAGTGCTGGGAACTTGTACCCTTATAGCGGCGACTTGTTGCTGGTTAATGGCTAAGAGGGCGCCGCTNAAAAAAAAAAATATGGATTGAGGTACTAGGTAGGTAGTCCATCCAAGACTCGCAAGTACTGTCATAAAAAATAGGATGGGAGTGTACTTACTGTACTCTGATGGTAGCACAGGTCATTTTAAAGTATATTTAAGACAGTGCTATAAATATTTTTTGGTAGCCTACTGCATTTTTCTGGGCTTAAGGCCATCTGGACTAGACCATCTACTAGACCGGTCAGGGTAGCCACGTACTGTGCTCTATATGGTAGCAGCACAGGTCAATTTAGCGTATGCAATATAGCAATGAAGATGTAGCATGGGCAGGCCTCCCACTGGGTGGACCGACGATCTGGTGAAGGTCGCGGGAGGCGACTGGATGCGAGCGGCGCAGGACCGGTCTTTGTGGAAATCCTTGGGGAAGGCCTTTGTCTAGCCAGCAGTGGACGTCTTTCGGCTGAAACGAACGAACAGACATATTTCAACTCATTATCCTTGTCTTCTCCCCAGGGCCTAATGGGCTGGTACATGGTAAAGTCGGGCCTAGAAGACCGCTTCCAAGGCCCGTCAGACGTGCCGCGCGTGTCTCAGTACCGACTCGCGGCGCATCTGTCGCTGGCCTTCGTGTTATACTCGGGGCTGCTGGCCGGAGCCCTGCGGGTGCTGCGCCCCTTCCCAGCTGGTGGGGTGGCGCAGAAACTCAAGGGGTTGAAGGGCATGACGGCGTTAGCGCATACCGTGAAGGCTATGGCTTTCTTTACCGCTGTTTCTGGTTAGTTCATTTTTTAATTGTTTATTATTTTGTTTTGATGCCTACTTAACATATTAAAACAATTTAAAAATAACAATGATCCATGTCTCTATTTACTTCGTTGGTAAAAGTGCATGTGTATTTATTATTGTATCTATTTTGTACATACAATAGCACATTAGCTAGAGACTTCCCAGCAACTATTTAACTGCTGAATGCAAATAGTTCAGGACCGCTTGTTCTGCAGTTTGCAGTATTAAGTATGCTTTTGCTTATGTTCATCAGTATTTTTGACGCAACTGATAACGCGTGTGACACATTCAAAGATCATTTCTTTCTTCTAGGTGCATTCGTGGCTGGCCTAGACGCGGGTCTAGTCTACAACTCGTTCCCAAAAATGGGCGACGACTGGTTACCTCCCGACATCATGTCATTCCAGCCGCCCGTGCGAAACTTCACCGAGAATCCCACCACTGTGCAGTTTGACCATAGAGTGCTGGGGACTTGTACCCTTATAGCGGCCACTTGTTGCTGGTTAATGGCTAAGAGGGCGCCACTTTCGCCTGCTGCGAGGAGAGTGGCTACCGCTGTTGGAGCTATGGCGTGGCTTCAGGTAAGATAAGTACTATAGTCTGGTCTGTGAGCACGTAGAATTTTGTCCAATAACTCCAAGCTACCCATCCTTATCGCTCGCGCGTAATTATGTTGCTGTCGCGCTCGCACACTCACTGCGGGCGCCCGTCGCACAGTCGCGACAGCAATATAATTACGCGCGAGCGATAAGGATGGGTAGCTTGGGGTCATTGGACAAAATTCTACGTGCTCACAGACCGGACTTTTTTAAGTTGGGACACGTTTGCTGAGTAGTGGCTTCGAGGGCGCCGCTGTTGGAGTTGTAGTATTGCTTCAGGTAAGATAAATTTGGCCAGCGTATTTCTTGCTAGTGGCGACATCATGGACTATTCGCCACCCGTGAGAACCTTCATTGAGAATCCCACCACTGTGCAGTTTGACCATAGAGTGCTGGGGACTTGTACGCTTATAGCGGCGACTTGTTGCTGGTTGATGGCCTGGAGGGCGCCACTATCGCCTGCTGCGAGGAGAGTGGCTACCGCTGTTGGGACACGTGTTGCAGACTGATGGCTAGGAGGGCACCGCTGTCGTTGGTTGGCGGCCAAGAGGGCGCCACTATCGTTGATTGGCGGCTAAGAGGGCGCCACAGTTGCTGATTGATGTCTAAGAGGGCTCCATTGTCGCTTGTTATTAGCTAAGTTTGCTAGAAAGTTGGCTGTTCGTTAGTCAGTGTCTTTCGATGGTATAGATGACCTAAACTGAACTGTCCCACCAAACTCATTGACAGGGGGCAGCCACCATCGTTCCACTTTATAGTTTCCAACATGGCAAAAATCGGAACCAGCGATCCGGTGTTGACGGTGGCGCTCCCCTGTCAATGTCACGGATAGGATTCAGTATATTGGGTTTATAGCCACTCACTCGCCTGTGGCCTTTAAAACACGTACTCTATTACCCGTGCTAATGGCATAAAAATGAAAACAGAAAGAAATTAAACGCAATTTTTAACCGACTTCAAAAAGGAGGTTCTCAACGGTTGGTTTTTTCATGGTATATCTTAGTAACCAACACAACTCCTGACAGGTGTCGCTGGGCATCGCAACGCTTCTGACCTACGTGCCCACACCACTCGCCGCGTCGCACCAGTCGGGCTCGCTGCTGCTGTTAACACTGGCCATCTGGCTCACGCACGAGATCAAACTGCTCAAGTACATCCCCAAGTGATGGCCGCGTGTTCCACACTAAAGCCCGGTCCGTGAGCACGTAGAATTTTGTCCAATGACCCCTAGCTACCCATCCTTATCGCTCGCGCGTAATTATATTGCTGTCGCGACTGTGCGACGGGCGCCCGCAGTGAGTGTGCGAGCGCGATAGCAACATAACGCGCGAGCGATAAGGATGGGTAGATTGGGGTCATTGGACAAAATTCTACGTGCTCACGGACCAGCATAGACGTATTATTAGTTGCATCGCCTCTATTACAAGCGCATTAGATGCTAGTTTACCTTGGTAAGCCGTAAGTTTTTTTATTCAGTACTTAGGAACTTTCCAGGGCGCTTATACAGTTATACACGTCCCAAATATATATTGCCCTACCACTACTTTGGGACAACATATTATGGGATGGGCTGGTGTTGAGAAGTGGCGGAAGAAACTCAGTCACCTTTGTCAGCCTCTTTTTTAATCAGATACAGCAAATAATACTTACATGAAACTTAAACAAGATGACTGCGAGCTAGGCAGGTAAAGTCCACGCACTCATTATGGTCGTCTGTAATTTGCATTGTGACCAGGCAAGTGATATTTTTTTGACACTGGAGCACTGGAGGTCGAAGCATATTTTCAGTTGTACATATCTTATACAAAAAATTTAGTAACGATGACATCAGTTTCATCAAACTGTGAAGATTTTTGTTAGTATAAAATCCAATATTCAATAGTTTGTAAAAAAGGACGTCCTGTCCTTGCTATTTCACTTCAATATTAATTTTTAAACAGTATTTTATCCGCATTTATAATTACTTACTTACTATTACATTGTAAATTCTTTTGAGCTGTTTTTATACTTTTATTGCAGTTATTGCTGTGTTTTTAAACCAAAAACCACGATCAAAATGTGACGTTAATCTTCAAATTTGCCAAATTATTTTTAGATTTTACTCAATAATGGTAATGAAATTCAAGAATCTATTTCATTAATGAACTACAAGAATATATGTCCGATGATTACTTTATATTTTTTAGCTTATTATATGAGCATAAATAATAGATACAGGACTTTGAAAATGAGTCTGCGGCAATTTTTTCGTAAAATGGTTGTGGGAGATGGGGCACTGCGAATTAAGCAAAAGAGTTTTAGTAAATCCGTTTCATTAATGGTCAACAACAAGGATCGACCTATCTTTCGCAGTTATTAAATAATCTCTGGGTGTTGCTTAAGATAGTAATTCATGCTTCCAAAATCTTAGAAATTCGCACGAAAATGTAAAATGGCTCTTAATTAATGAGGGCCATGATCCTGTAGTGGAGACTACATTAAATGGTGATGATAATAAAGTAAAGAAAATAAACAAAATTTTTGCTAAGGATTCAAAATGAAACACTTTATAACTTAGAACATCATGGAGTAAACTCTCCTTGGGTAAAATCCTACCAGAAGCTAAGTATTCCAGAAAGTAAACAATGCATTAAAATATATAAATTAAAAATGAATAGGCAAGATCAAAAGTTAAATAAATAAGGTAGTTAGAGAAACGATTGTTTAGTTACATAAAATATCAATATCCTGTAAGGAAAATAAACTGTTTCATATTATGTAATACACTCGCTATCTTGATGTTCAAAGTCATCAATTGCATACAATTAATAACCCATTTATCAAACGCGTATGCTCGTGACAAATGACTCTATGTCCTGCGGACCCACCTTAATTGGATTGAACATTAAGGATGCAAAGAAAAGTAAAAGGAAAATATATTGTAACCCCCTAAAATGATTTTCCTCAATGCCTTTTCATAATATTCACTTTAATTCAATTAATATACACAAATGCTGGTACCATCTTACTTTAACATTGAACCATCAAACTCCATACAAAAAACGTCGGTTAACGTTGTAGTTACCGTTAAAGTTAGGTGGTACAACTCAGCCTAAAAGGTACTTTCAGAAAAGAATGTTCAAGTTTCTCGCGACTGATAGAAATGAGAAGTTAGGGAAAAGTAATAAAATTAAGAGTGTTTTGTAGAATGAGGTGCAAGCTTAACTATCGCATTCTATATTAGAAAGAAAGAAAGAAGAAAGAATAACAGTTTATTTGGTTCAAACAAACGTTTTACACAATTTAAATAACATACATAAATTTATTGAACCAAAATGGCTCCTACTCAGCTTGTATCATGTTCCATTCAGAGGTGGAATTGTGTAAAGCAATCGTTATGATTTGACAGTTCATAACGTACGATTATTCTGTCAAACGCTTTGTTTAACTGACTTTATTGTACGTTATGAACTGTCAAATGATTACGATCGCTTTACACAATTCCACCTCAGAACATGAATGCTGGTATTCTGTAAAACCATCATTAAATCAGTCGCTTAGCAAAAACTACAGAGGGCTTGTCAAAAACACAATTACTTACACAATCTTAGTAATCTGACTGTTCTTCAGTCCTTTGATGGTGGTATCCCTGAACTCCATGCTAAGCCCACCGTTGTTGGTCCGCACGCGGCCCAGGTGCATGGGGTCGAGGGCACTGATGCCCAGCGCTGGGACGCCGCCCGCTATGGAGGGGAGCGCGTTGGTGGCGGAGCGGAGGTTGCACTGGCTGTCGCTTTCGTGGCATGCCTCGATGAATGGAGCTGGAATAAAAGAAATAAAGTAGTTTCTTTTTTTTATTTTTAGCATTAAGAGATGCATCTCAAGTAATAATAATAATACTGAATAAAGGCGGTGATCCTCAGCACGGCACGCATTGTCCGGAGGTTCCTCAGCCTGTGACCCTGACCACCGGTAGCTTGGGCCCTGCTCCGCTACCAGCGGAATAACAATTTTTAAGTCTTTTTTTATAATGTATTTTTTTTTTGATAATTTACATTGTAAAAAAATATTTAAAATTAAGAATCAAAGTTAATAAAGAGAATAATACTGACAGTCAAATATTTGCAACAATATTTCTGTTACATGTTTACCCTTAAACCCCTAATGGTATACCCAACATTGATGAAAAAAACGCTGGCCGTAACAGCGTATTACACTTGAAAATTTTGACTGGTTCATCCATAGGCTAGTTGCCTAAAAAAATTTTTTTAGTCCGTAATGTTTAATATCAAAAAATATTGGACACATATANGGACCAGCATAGACGTATTATTAGTTGCATCGCCTCTATTACAAGCGCATTAGATGCTAGTTTACCTTGGTAAGCCGTAAGTTTTTTTATTCAGTACTTAGGAACTTTCCAGGGCGCTTATACAGTTATACACGTCCCAAATATATATTGCCCTACCACTACTTTGGGACAACATATTATGGGATGGGCTGGTGTTGAGAAGTGGCGGAAGAAACTCAGTCACCTTTGTCAGCCTCTTTTTTAATCAGATACAGCAAATAATACTTACATGAAACTTAAACAAGATGACTGCGAGCTAGGCAGGTAAAGTCCACGCACTCATTATGGTCGTCTGTAATTTGCATTGTGACCAGGCAAGTGATATTTTTTTGACACTGGAGCACTGGAGGTCGAAGCATATTTTCAGTTGTACATATCTTATACAAAAAATTTAGTAACGATGACATCAGTTTCATCAAACTGTGAAGATTTTTGTTAGTATAAAATCCAATATTCAATAGTTTGTAAAAAAGGACGTCCTGTCCTTGCTATTTCACTTCAATATTAATTTTTAAACAGTATTTTATCCGCATTTATAATTACTTACTTACTATTACATTGTAAATTCTTTTGAGCTGTTTTTTTACTTTAAGACTAGTCAATAATTTTAAAAAGTTGTGAATTTTTGCGATTTTCTCGCAATAATCACTGCAAACCATTTTCCTATGATATTAAGTTTCATTAGTAACATGAATATTTTTTTAAGAAAACGACTGATTTCTTTGCTGCATTAGATAAAAGTTATTTAATTGATTAGAATGAAAATATAACAATGTTGTTAACACAGTGTCTTTTATTTAACTTAAGTTTTCATAATGTGGGTAGTTGCAATATCTGCGACCGCCATTCACTCGGAAGAAGGAGGGTATTTCGGCATTTTGCAACGCTCAGTTCGGCTCGGAACGCATTACGAATAGCACGTCTCCGTATACTGCTACGGCTCGGTGAAAAAATGGCAGTGTCTTATCGGATTAAACTAAAGGTTTTTTTTTTCGTTTAAACTAAAATTGAAATTAAACGTTTCGCGCAAGATTATTTATTTATTTGTGTGTTTTCCAGTAATAGTGAACGTCTTTTGGCAAAAACGGATGTGAAAATAGTGTTGTGTGTGTGTGTGTGTGTAGAAAACCTTCGTTGACCTTGGGCAGACGGCCACGCCTTTGGAACCGCTTGATGTACCTACTCGTCGGCTCTCTGCAGTTATTTTGGATTCAGTCAAGGTGAGTGCTTTCCTTATGTAGTTTTAGGAAAAGAAGTGGATGAGCGAGTGATAAATAAAATATTAGAAATACTTTTACAACTTTATTTAAATTACCGTACAGTATCTGTTAAAACATTGAATTTTCACCAGATTACATGCAATAATGAATAGACCGCTAGGTATGGTAGATAAATCAAATGTAGCACCATACAATAATTCCTTAGAGAAAACACTGCCTAAGTGTAAATAAAAAATATGTATATTTTAAATAAAACTATTAAAATTTTACTTCATAAAATATCATAGATATGTTCAGGTTTTGTTCAGTGTACAATTTTGAGATCGGTTCAAATGATAGTAAACATGAAAGATGCCTCGAAACCTCTGAACTAATAGAACGAATTATTATAAAAATAAGATAACTTCCGATAATACTTTCAGTCGAATTCAAAACAACTAAACTATAATATTGCAGTTTATAGAAGGCGGGGGCATCTATTCTCTATGGTAACATTAAATGGGACGAACGAAACCAGTTCTAAAATATATTTTACTACTCTTGTAGTATACTCCAATTTCCTGCTAGTAAGTAACAACTAATTCCTGAATTGATGTTGGAAGTAAGGAAGTGGGGATCTCAATGGAAAACCAAACGTGGCCAATTCAGAAAAAGCAATTTTGACTGAAATGTCTCACCATTATCAAAATAAACGTAAT